ATTTAATTAATTAATTACTTCTACCTAAAACGTAAAAGTAAATAAACTATAACTAACTAACTACTACATACTATACACACACACACACACACACACACACACACACACACACACACATATATATATATATATAATATTTTAATTTATAGGGTAAATGCATATACCAACTGAAAAGCTAAATTATCACACAAAAATATACAGATGGAAAGAATGAACTTATGCTTACAGACGTCTAGTATAGTACTCATGCTCACTCCTACTGTATTTCATATTTGCAAATTCATATATACATAACGCATGCATATTCGTTAATCTGGCATATTTAAACAGATAAATATGTACACGTACTAACATAGGGACATGCATAGATTCTAGGATATATGCATATACATATACCAGGAAACACGCATATAAATATCAGAATATAAGCATATATATATACAATCACACGAAGACGAACCCGCATATCCCCCAATATATATAAACCAACATCACTTAACTATAAATATGCATATGAATATTCATGGGTTGTGATGCTGCAATCTTGTGAACGCTCGGTGCTACTATGCATATGTACAAATACATATTTATTCCCGCACGAGCTATATCCATATGTACAGTCACGATTGTAGTTACCAATTCCCCCCAAAAAGTGTAAGTGTAACCTTACATAACATATGTGTTGATATGGTGTCTCAAATAGTTATACGTCAGTCGTACTACACAGAACACTCTAGTACATATATTCACGTTTACATGCCAGAAATTGATGCATACGTCCAATCCTCTGCCGTATGTCTCATGTTCACATGGGAGCAAATATTTAAATCAATAAAAACAACACAAACATATACATATGCACATAGAGCCAATAGTATTCAATATCCGATGTAATGTGGTTTGTTGATATGTATCATATTGTGAAAAGCAAATCATGTCTGCATCTTTCCATATATCTACTCAAATAACAATTTGAAACAATAACAGGTAGCATACATGGTTGCAAAAGAATATATACAGATGTATAAACATACGAAGATATATACATATATTCATACAAAAATACTTACATATATAAACAAACATGCATACATGATTTCAAAAGTACATTAGTACATACATACTTCCGTTTA